AAAGCCTGCTTGACTGATTTGGTGCAGTGACGCATGGGGGGGGTCTCAGCTGCCGTTGTGATGTGTGGTGTCTCTTGTGCGTCTCTGTGCCTTTAAGGGGGTTGGGCTTCCTCCTGACAAACCTGCACTCAATTTTATCTTTTGCCCCATGTGCTCCAAGATGAAGGCTCTCATAGTTTAGAGTTAGGACCGCACTATATAGAGGTGCCTTGGCGCGGCTGTGCGGCTTTCACATTTTCTGCAGAAGACGTGTATATAAAACCTCTGCTTTTAACCTTAGCGGTGAGACAAGTTTTTTAGCATGTTGGCTGGCGAGTGTGCTGGGAAAACTTTTTGCTGTTGTACTGTATAAAGCCCTTCCATGTGCACCTTGCTTAGAGCTGGTTACAAATTGATGAGTGTGTTTGCCATTTGTTTTGCTTTACATAGAACACATTCACATCAGTCCCTGCACTCAAGACCCTTACAATCTAAGGTCCGTATTGCACACGTATACAGGGCCAATTTGGACAGAAGCCAATTAACCTTCCAGCATGTCTTTGGAGTGTGGGAGGAAACCGGAGTACCGGAGGAAACACACACAAGCACAGTGAGAACATACAAACATCTTGCAGATAGTGCCCTGACCGGGATTTGAACTGGGGGACCCCCAGTGCTACAAGGCAGAAATGCTAGCCACTATGCCATAAATAAGAAAAAAACATCTGCAATACATACACATTTCCCCATGTATTATCCCTTAAAGGACCCTTCAAATGCGGACAAATAGCTGTTGTGTCACAAAAGCTCCTAAATATATGTTGCAACTTGACAACACCCAGCATTTGTGTGAAAATGAGTGGTGTCAGCACTGCCCAGTTGTATTCTTCTAAACTTCTCAAACCCTCCCAAATCCAAATCCTCCCCTTTTCCAATGCTCTACAGCAGTGTTCCCCAACCCCCTGGTCAAATGGTACCGGGCCGCACAGTCTCAGTGCGGTCCGGTCATGCAAAATATGGCAGTGCACGGTCCCGGTGTTCGAACACCGGGGCCCCGCACTGCCGACGGGCTTCACAGTGAGGGGGCGGGTCCTGTGACTCACCTCCCCTCCCGGCCGCGTCTATAGTAACAGGCGGCGGGAGGGGAGGTGAGTCACAGGAGACGTGTGTGTGTCACATGCCCTGCCCCGCCCCCTGCAGTGAGTGCACACATCGACGCATGACTGCTGCTCCTGGAAGCGTGAGTCTAAGCGGGGGAAGGGGGGGGGGTGTCTTACATCATGTCATTAGACGTGGATTATAATGGGGAATATTACACTGTAATGTTCCCTATTATAATCTATTTCTCTGATTAAATGATTACAGGTAGGCATGTGATCTATCAAAGTTTGAGACTACGTTAGAATGTGTGACCAGTGACGTGGTCACATTTTAACGTAATCTCGCCCAGTTTTTCGGTGGTGGAATAGGTAAAGAATTCCAACGCTTTCATTTTTTGGTGTAACTGTATTTTATTTTGAAGGCATGTTTAAATACAATGAAATTAAAATTATTAAATCAAAACAATCTAAAATATAAACAATCAACGTCCCCCCCTCAGCGGGCCACGGTAAAATTATCAAGCGTTGACCGGTCCGCGGCGATAAAAAGGTTGGGGAGCACTGCTCTACAGCATGAGGGCTCCTTATCCAGCAGTCTTAAAATACAGAGGGCTAATGAGCCTCGTTGAGTTAATATAGCTAGAGTGCCGAGGGCTCTGAATCTCTGACAAGATCAATAGGTATTTATTGAACAGATATAACAAAACACTTTCAATGGTAGATGAACAGGCCGAAAGAATAAGAGAAGGTCATTGTTAAGGTGCCCATACACTTTACAACCCTCGCAAGACTTTTGTCTTGCGAGGGTTGTAAAGTACTTAAAAAAAGTACAATCTGCCCATCTTGGACAGGCAGATCGTACTTGCGATCATCGCAAGCCCGCCCCCCTGGGGGGCGGGCTTACGATGACTGCAATGAGGGGCGGGCTTAAGATGACTGCAAATGGACTGTGTGCGCGTGCGCACACCGGCCCGTTCGGCAGTTGTCGAACCAGCAGGCCACTAACTCGCCGAGAATCGTACGATTCCCGGCGGGTTTTCTAGCCTGCTGGTTCGACGGAAGACGTGCGACCGTACAGTAGAAACGGTTGCACGGCTTCCATACACTGCACGATTCTCGTACGATCGCGGGATATCCCGCGATTCTCGTACGAGAATCGTGCAGTGTATGGGCACCTTTAGGGTTTGCATGCACTTTAACCCTTTGGTGACTGGAGTTTATGAAGCTTAGACGCCCAGACCAAGTTTAGCAGTGCTAATGTGTATCTGTTAACATGACAATAACTCTACCACTAGGTTTTTTCTGATTGGTCTCAAGCGGGAACTGGGAGCACACACAGTTGCACATACTTAGTAGTCTGCAGCAAGTTTAATTAAAGTAGTATTAAGGTCTGGCCATTTTTTACCTTAAAGTGACATTAAACCCTCAGATTTTTTAACATACACCAATACTGTAATGTGCGCCTTACTGTAATCCATGGTTGTCTCCCTTCTCTTTCCTGCTCTTCCTTTTAAATCCTCATGTCTTCTCATGCTTGGGGAGAACTTCTCTTTTCAGCTCAGGGCCTCTTCCTGTAGTGCTGGCTCAGGTTACAAACCTATACAAATCTATACAGTACACAGACACCGTGTATCCATTCCTGAGACAAGGCAGTCTGCTGCAAAACAGAAGTTCTGCCCAGCATGAGAAGAGATACAGATTTAAAAGGAAGAGCAGCAAAGAGAAGGGAAACTACCATGGATTACAGTAAGGCGCACATTACAGTATTGGTTTATGTTAAAAAATCTGAGGGTTTAATGTCACTTTAATGCATTCTCTGCATTAGGGTAAAAACGGCCCAGAACCTTTTTTCTCCCCCCCTCCTGTCACTTACCTGTCAGCGACGCTCGTCCCCGCCGCCGGGTTGCAGGGGGAGGATACTGATGGCAGAGGAGCCATAGGCTCCTTCTGCTAGCCGCCACTTAATTACCTCCCGGCCGGCCTTTGTAAAAAAATCGGTGGTCTCTAGATCTGAATGGGCGTCTGTAGACGTCCGCTCAGCCTCACCCACGCTCGGTGCGCACGAGCGGGAAACACCGTCAATTTAAAAACAGGCACCGGCGGATCGCTTGTATGATCTGCCGGCCTGTGTGTGTGTGTGTGTCTCCTCCATCCGCCCCCCCCCCTCGTTGTCACGCTGGTCCCAGGCTCTGCTGGGCCCGGTGCAAGCCCGGGACCAGCATAGTGCCTCTGTCACAGGGGATTAGAGGGAGGTCGGTACACAAGCTCCCTCCGGTCTCCTCTCCGCTGCCAGAATGCGGAACTGATGTATATTAGATCACTTCCGCATCCTCGTGTCACTCTCTAGCTTCAGACGCTGGAGAGAAGCTGATGAAGCAGATCTGTGCTTCATCTGCTTCTTTGGGGGGTCCTAGGTGACATTAGGGGTCTTGGAGACCTCTGATGTCTCCATAAAGAGGACCTGTCACATCTTTTGCTATCACATAGGGGGGTTTCTTAGCCCCCAATGTGATAGCAAATAAAGTTAAGTGGAAAAAAAATAGGAAACAATTTTAAGTTTACTTAAAAAATTTTTTACAGTTACACATAAAAAAGAATTAAAAAAAAACAAAAAACCTGCAAAAACAACGATTGCGCCCATTACGCCGCACATGTTACATATCACATGTCATCTATGGTCAATTTTGGGTATGGTAGATTTTTGCGATTTCGCGGGTGCGCACAATTTTTAAGCTTGACATGTTTGGTGTCTATTTACCTGACATGACCCCGACTTTTATATTTTACCACAAAATTTGGGTAATAATAATTGTTTCCTAACATAATGTAAAAAAACATTTTCAGTAAATTTTCTGAAATATAGTAAAAAATAAAACCCCCAGTGGTGATTAAATACCACCAAAAGAAAGTTCTATGTGTCCCCAAAAAATGGTATAAAATTAATTTCAGTACAGCGCTGCATGACGGAATAAATGTCAGTCAAAGTACCTCAGCGCTGAATACTGAAAAATGGCCGGGACAGGAAGGGGGTGTAACACCGCGGACTTCAAGTGGTTAAAGGAAAAAAGATTTAAAAAATGGAGTCTTTAAAGGAGAACTATGGGGTCAGGGCTTTTCCCCATAGTTCTCCTAAGGGTAACGGGAGAACACAAACTAGCGTCCTCCCGTCACCCAAAGCTCAGTATACTGCGAGCTACAGCTCGCGGTATACTGAGACGCTGCAGCTGAAACAGATCCCGACAATTATGTCTGGATCTGCCCAGCTCTGCCTATCTAGAGGCAGAGCCAGCTGTACCCGCCCCATCCGTTCCGCCGCCAGTCAGCACTGGAGAAGCGGCGCCAGGAGGGGGGAATCCAGCCCCTCCCCTGTCACGGCTCTCTGCAGTGACAGGATGGAGAAGTGAGCGAGCGCCGGTATGTGTTCACTCACTTCCCGATCTACTGAGCCGACCTGTGACAGTCTCATTGTCACAGGTCGGCTAGAACTATGAGGATGAGTGAAAAGCACCCCCCTCATAGTTCTACTTTTAATATCACTTTCACATTCCATGGCACGGGGCATTTTGCATTTGGAGTTGTGCTGTCGTATTGCAGAGAGGGAGGAGTCAGGTGTCTACGTGCTGCTTTGTAATAAAACTGATAGGATGATATTTGTGCAATGAAGGAGTTGGGATTTGATGGCCTTTCCTTCTGCGACATGATGTCTTTATCGGCAGAAATACGGATTTGTTACACTTCTACACTTCCTTAGGTTTCCCCAACGTATTCTTTTTAAAGCGATGTTTATATTATTCACGGGAAACTCGCTCTTTGAATGGGAGTGGCGATAGTCTTACTATTTGTTGGATTTGGCTGCTTTTGTTCTCCCCAAAGGAAGTGTTTTTATCACTTTGTTAATATAAAACCTTTCTTTTATTTCAGAACCAGAGATGATGATGATGAAGATGACGAACAAGCGATGAACTATGCGGAGGATTGAAGAGCGAACTGTTTTGTTTTGTGTTTTATTTAAATTAGAAAGTTGTATTTTTTATACCCTTTTTTGTTCCAGTTTTACATTCCCGCCAGGGGAAGTTCCCCCTCCTCCGGTTCCTTTATCACAGACAAATCATTTGTGACTTGGGGATGCTCTGACAATGGACAGTGGTGACCAATGGAGATGCTGCGACTCAGCAGGACGGCTATTACTGGCCTACTCTAGAACCTGCAACTGGTGTTGTGGTCTTGGGGGTCACTATCCCAATCCTAGGAAGAGTTCTGGTGACATGGAAGTGGAATATAAATGAGAGAATGTTTAATGATAATCTCATCACACTGCTTCCTGGGATGGAGTTGGTTCCTTGAGGTTCTGAGCCCAGTACCCGAGACCATATTGGCTGACCTCAATGGCCCATATTACTAAAAAATTGCAAACTCAGCCCAGGAAAACAGATAAGTTGCATTTGTAAACAATAAATCAAGGCAACTGGACTTGCTGTATTTTTCTTGATGTTTCGCTTGTCATCCGACCAGCTTTCTCAATTCAGAATGATTTGTACAAAAATTATCTGGGAATAAATAGGGTGAATGTTGCTACTATCAACAGTGTTAATCATAACCAGCATGGGGTCAGAGACCTCATGGAGGTCAGTAGCTAGACATAACCAGCAGGGGGTCAGAGACCTCATGGGGGTCAGTACCTAGACATAACCAGCAGGGGGTCAGAGACCTCATGGGGGTCAGTACCTAGACATAAGCAGCATGGGGTCAGAGACCTCATGGAGGTCAGTACCTAGGCATAACCAGCAGGTGGTCAGAGACCTCATGGGGGTCAGTACCTAGAAATAACCAGCATGGGGTCAGAGACCTCATGGAGGTCAGTACCTAGACATAACCAGCAGGGGGTCAGAGACCTCATGGGGGTTAGTACCTAGACATAACCAGCATGGGGTCAGAGACCTCATGTAGGTAAGGTATTCATTGCATTTGCATGATTGGAGCTAGCAGGTGTTATTGAGCCTCCCAGTGAGAGGTTAAAACATTGTGGCAGACCTCCATGAGACCTCTGACCCCATGCTGGTTTTGTCTGGTACTGACCTCCATGAGATTTCTGACCCCCTGCTGGTTGTCTAGTACTGACCCCCATGAGCTCTGACCCCATGCTGGTTATGTCTGGTACTCACCTCCATGAGATCTCTGACTCCATGCTGGTTATGGTTAACAGATTACGTTGAATGGAGCAACAGTCAGCATATTTATTATCAGATAATTTTTGTACAAGTCATTCTGAATTGAGGAAGCTGGTTGGATGTCCAGTGATACCCTGGTCACAAGCATCCCTGCAAGCACCTTTGAAGCATGAGCATTAACAATGGCCAAAATAGGCAACTATCATCTCACGTCTATGGGAAGCTTAAAGCAAACTGGCCTGCGCCATTGAAGCATAAGCATTAAATGTGTCCAGAACGGGCCACTATCATCTCACGTCTATAGGAAGCTTAAAGGAGAACTATGAGGTTCTATCTTTTTTTTTATGAATGCATTCCTTAGGCTAAATAAGTAAATAATGTAATTTACTGTAATTAGCCAAAATGCACAGGAAGGCTGTAAAACCTTATTTTTACAATAAGGTTTTACAGCCTTCCTGTGCATTTTGGCTAATTACAGTAAATTACATTATTTACTTATTTAGCCTAAGGAATGCATTCATAAAAAAAAGATAGAACCTCATAGTTCTCCTTTAAAGCAAACTGGCTTGGGCAATAGGATTGCACTAATGCTCCCCTCGTCCTCAGTTACACATGCCTTTGCATCCCTCACGGGGGAGTGAAGAAAATACTTTGCAGTATTAAGGAGCATGTGACTCATGCCAAGGGAAGAGTGCTGGTGCTTGGTGAGTGGCCCAACACCGTCATGGGGGCAGGAAGAGCCCTCAGGCAGCCCTGTGTAATATCCAACTGAAGCAACACTAACTCACACAGGGTTCCTCGCTTCCAGTATCAGTTCTCCATGGAGGGAACCGTCCAGCATGCAGCAACAGGCATTAGACTACCAGATGTGGGTCTACTTCCGCACACAACTTCATTGGCTTCCATATTGAGGACTGGCAATCTGTACTTACGTTTGGCAATCCAGTCTGGATGTATCTGCTGCGGCAAAACCTTGTTATATCCGATGTTGTATTTTATATTAAAATTTAGTTTATTAAAACGTGTTCGATGCCGAGACACCATGTCATAGATAAGTATGATTGCAGCTCAAGTGTATACAAAGCCATATCAAAAATATAATATACCGCAGTCTTTAAATGGGGTGACTGCCATGGTTTTCTTTAGTTTTCAGACCCTTTTTCCTTTTATTTCAAGGCTTCAAACCGTATCTGCCTTTGTTCATCTCTATTACATGGGTGGGATTTGTGGTTGCCCTAATAAAGATCAGGCTCTTTGTGTTGTATTTGTAGCTCAAGGTCACTGCATTTCTGGCAGGATCAACAGGTGTTTTCTGTACTTGCTGAAAACATTCTAAAGCTGCCCATACACCTTGCGATCATCGGACGACACTTTGCGTCCGATGATTGAAGCGCTGTGCGATGTTCATACGGCGGCCCCATCCTGCCCCGATTATCACAAGGTTGGATCCGCGGTAATTAGAAGAAAGCACCTGTAGGAATTGCGGTAATCGACCGCACGTATTTTCGTCTGCGCATGTGCAGTGTAGATGTACGAGTTTTGACGTACGGAAACGCCACCAACCTTGCGAAAATCGTACGATCGGCCGAAGTTCTCTAACCTGCTGGATAGTCAAAAGTCGATGGATTGTACAGTATTTGCGGTTGTACACTGCCCATCAACCTTACGGATATCGGACGAAAACGCCAATATTCATAAGGTGTATGGGCAGCTTTAGCCTGAAAACCGTAAACGAATGCAAGCGCCACATCTAACACCTGGTAAGCTGTTACAGATTTTGTTTTTGGTTTGGGCTGTAGAAATGCTTTGAATTCGGACCCAGAGCTTCTTATTTTTAGATGCCTTTAGTTTGTGATCTGGTGAGTTGGGATTTATTTTGGAAACATGTTAAGGCAGAACTGAAATTGTACCAAAAACAGATGGTGGCGTATAAGGGCTCAAGCCACAATGATTCAACAATTCACAATTTCATTAACCCTCGCAGTGGCCGGTCCCTGGAGCCTCTCGCCCCCTCCACTGCATCGCTGTCTTCGGCCTCATTCACACGAGAATCGTCCGGCACACACAGCTCCGTGCTGCGTGCACGGCCGTATCAGGCAGCTCCTGGGAAGGACAGGGGCTGCGTGTGATTAGTACGCAGCCCCCATCCTGCTCTATGCGGCCGTGCGCCGCCCTTCGGCACGGCAATGGTTCACTGCAATTTTTGTGATTAGCATTAAAAACAAGTTATGCTCACCTGATCCTAGAAGCCGGCTTACTCTTAAGCTGGCCATACGCCTTACAACCATTGCACGACTTTCGTTGGATAGACAGATCGTACTTGCGACGATTGCAATGCTGAGCGGGCAGTGTGCGGTTGCGCACACCGGCCCGTGCGTCTTTCCAAGCACGCCAACGACCCACCAAAAATCGTAAGATTTTCGGCTGGTTTTCCAGCGTGCTAGGAAGATGAAAGTCGTGCGACCGTACAGTTGATGCGGTCGCACGCTGCCCATACACCTGCCGATTGTCGTACGAGCGATTATGGTACGATAATTGGCAGGTGTATGGGCACCTTTCGACCAGTCCCTGGAGCCTCTCACCCCCTCCGCTGCAGCGCTGTCTTAGGCCTCTTTCACATGAGAATCGTCCGCCACGTACAGCTCCGTGCTGTGTGCACGGCCGTATCGGGCAGCTCCCGGGAAGGACAGGTGCTGCGTGTGATTAGTACGCAGCTCCCGTCCTTCTCTATGGGAGTATGCGGCCGTACCGCCCTGCGCTCACCTCAAGTGCAGGTCCGTACGGGTGCAGGTGTCCCGGCTGAGACGCAGACAGGTTCCATCCTGTCAGCGTACGAGTACGCTCACCTGCACCCGTACGGACGTGCAGGGCGGGTGAGCGTAGGGCGGCGCACGGCCACATAGTCCCATAGAGCAGGATGGGGGCTGCGTACTAATCACACGCAGCACCTGTCCTTCCCGGGAGCTGCCCGATACGGCCGTGCACGGAGCTGTACGTGGGGGACGATTCTCATGTGAATGAGGCCTTAGGATCCTCCAGTCATCACATCTAATATAGTGTATAGGACATGAGGATGCTGACACACATACCATCGCTGCAGCGGAGGAGGAAACTGGCTGAAGGGGGCGCTGTTTCAGCTGCCCAACTTAGAGAAATGAGCACTTAACCCTCGCAGTGCTGGATGGAGCCCCACTGCAGGCGTTAATATATATTTTTTAACTGGAGTTCTTTAACAGAAAAACTTCTACAATCTGCTGTTCAACCACAAGAGAATGTGCTTAGCACATGTGTGATGTCCGGAGTGTCATCTGATCTGTGTCAGACATTAGTGAATTGATGGGGTTTCCCATTTAACATGTGCAGGTGTTCTATCAAACGTTGTGACTGCGTTAGAATGTGTGACCGGTGACGTGGTCATACTTTAACCTAACTCCGCCCACTTTTTCGGCAGGGGAATATATGACCGGCAAAAGGTGAAGAATCCCAACGCTTTCTCAGCTGTTCCAGGGCAGATCGGCATGGCAGATGGTATGTGCAAGAGAACCAATCTGCCCTGGAACAGTTGATCGGTCCTGAAATGTGACTTTGCGAGTGCGATCTGACATTCCACAGAGTCGGATAGAAGTTACATTTCAGGACCGATCAGCTGTTCCAGGGCAGATCGGTTCTCCTGCACATACCATCTGCCATGCCGATCTGCCCTGCAACAGCCAAGAAAGCGTTGGAATTCTTCACCTTTTGCCGGTCACATATTTCACCGCCGAAAAAGTGGGTGTGATTAGGTTAAAATGTGCAACCACGTGACCAGTCA